CATCCAGGGCCACCACTTCCTTGTCTTTGCTGTCCCTCAGCACACCATTCGCCATCTTCTCTGGAAATAGGTCAGTGTCTACCGGGAGGTCCTGGGGACACGAAAAGCAAAAGGGATGGGGCTGCTGAATATGGACATGGGGTGGTGAAGGGATTCATGCAAAGGTCCCTGCTAGAAGGAGCCAAGCAAGGCTGGGTAGGGGAGAGGGGAGCAGGGGGAAGAAAAGGAGGAACAAAGCATGGTGGGAGGGGTTTAAGAGGGATGGGGGGGGAACGGGACACATCTGTGGGCTGAGCTCCACACCCCTCACTTCCAGTAAGGCCCTGTGGTAGCAGGTGGGACAGCTGCTGTGGGACAGTCCACACTTAGCAGCTCCTCAGAGAGAGGGGTGCTGGGGCAGGGGGAAAGGAAAGGGGAGGAAGGGAACCCGAATGGTCTGGTGGCATCGGCAAAGGGAAGGGAGGGGATTGTTTGGACAGCAGGTACTACCTGGCTGTAGCTCCTGCAGGAGAGCCTCTTCTGATAGGACAAGGGCAGGAAGGCAAGCAGTTTTGGCAGCACTGGGTAAATGGTCCCAGGCTTCAGAGGCCGGCCCCGCATTCCCCCTAAAGGCAAAGGCACTTCTGAGTCTCCTAAGTGGAACTGTGGAACTATCCAGAGCAGCAAGCTCTCTTCTCCCTCTAGGGCCACTGCCCTCTCCCACCTCCTGGATCTTAGTGAGAAACCTGTCATGGACACCCAAGATCTCAGAGGGTAGGGTCCCCTCTCCCAGCAGACTGCAGAGTCTGAGGGCCCTCCCTCAGCCCCTCCTGTTCCTCTGCCCCACAATCCCACACCCTCACCGGTGAGCAGACTGATAGTCAGGCCCACGACAATGACCGTGGTGGAGTTGTGGGCACTGTACCACATATAGGACAGGGAGTAGAGCCGCTGCAGCCCCGTGGGCCTGGGGAGAGGAGAGAGGGGATGACAGTTAGTTAGCAATTTCTTAGATGGGTGTCCCTTAGGCACTTGGCTCTGACTACCTGAATGGTCCCAGAGTCTTGGGACCCAATACCCAACATTACCCTGAGGCCTCTGATGGCCCATGCCTTAGCAAAGCCCCCGTGAAATCCCTCAAAAATGAGCTTCTATCCCTAAGGAGAAAGACAGCAAGCTCCGCCTCACTTGGAGAGGGTAGTTGAGGACATCAGTGTGGTCACAGTGGCAGCGGTCAGATTGCTGGGCAGGGAGAAGCTGGATCCATTAGGGGGAGAGGGCGCCACTCCGGAGCCCATGCTGGTCACTATGCTCCCAATGCCAATCCAGAAGGCCATGATGAGTCCAGCCAACAGGCCCACGATGGCACCAGGAGGGTTGGCACAAGGAAAGAAAATCCCAAGACAGAAGAGTCCAAGCAGTGGCCCCCCAACCATGCCAAAGATGCTGATTGCTGCCTGCAGCACAGGTCCCATCTGGGAGGAAACATAGGCCATCCCCAGACAAAGCAGCCCATAGCCAAATGCAAGGCTTCTGGAAAGCATGATGGCCCGGGCTTCAGAGAACTCAGGGAACCAGGGTCGAATCAGGTCTTCCATCGTCACAGTTGCCAATGAATTAAAAGCAGAGGATATGGTGCTGAGGGAGCCACTGAAGAGGCAGGCAACGAAGAGGCCAGGCAGGCCAGGCAGGTCTTTCAGGAGATCCATCACAAAGTACAGGACGAACTGGTCAGGAGCTGCCTGAGACTGCTGGGTACTCATGGGAAATCTCTGGTAATAGGCAAACATGACCAGGCCAATGAGGCAGCCCATGCCAAGGACCACCTGCTGGCAGGGGAACACCGCGTAACAGGACCTGCAAAAGAGGCCAGTGCCAAGGAAAGAAATGGTATTCACAGACAAACTGGGCACATCCCAATCCCAGTGAGTGTGTGTGTGCTCTGGCATCCTGCCTCACCCCAGTTACCACCAGGAAACCCATCCCCCAGCCCTTGCTCAGAATCTTTCTGTCCCTGCACTCACAGCACAGCAGCCTTCTCCGTGCGGGAACTGAGGTAGCGCTGCACCTGGGCCTGGTTCACCCCGTACAAGGAGAGCATCATGAAGACACCCCCGAAGGCCAAGGTCCAGAAGGTATGCCGCACAAAGGGGTCCGGATCCAGT